AACAGATCAATGGACGAAGAAGGGGACGGCAGTGAAGAGATGAAGAGAGAGAGAGACAGGAAATACCAAAAAAATAACACATAGAGAAAACCCTAAGATAATGAATGGAAGACCGAATGACATACCATTTGAAGAGAAGTCGGCTCGACTACCATCGACCGCGCCGATTCCACCTCCATCGCAACTCCAAACCACCGCCATCCCGTCGGCCTCCACACTATGACATCGAGAATCAACCCAGGCAGGAAAATTATTTCGAAAATTAGAACACTGATAACTCGAAAAAAAGGCAACAAAAGGCAGACGACGATTAACAAAGGTAGATCGATGACGAAGAAGGGGACGGGGATGAAGAGAGAGAGAGAGAGTACCAAAGAAATAACAGTGAGAAAACCCTAAGGAAATGAGGTCGCGAATTGAAAAAACAAAGAAAAACGGTGGGAGAAAACGACGTCGTTTCATAGGACGAAAGTGTGAACAGTACATTCAAAAGTGACTCTTTTATTGTATAGGGATAGGGATATTATTTTTGGATAGACGTTCATTGGTATTTTTATCCTTTAAGATAGTTGTAATTGTTCTAATGAAGACCTTCAAATCTAGAAGAGCATAGAAATAATACCCTATGGTACCCCACAAATAGACATATTTCTGATTAGACTTCAACTTTTATGTCTTTCCTTTCATCACGAGTCGGATATTCCCAAATTTGAATGTGATGCAACCAGGACTTACACACATTCTACAATTTCAGAGGAGTAGTGGAAACAAATTCAAAAGGAATTAAGTTAAGAATATATGCAACATCTCCATTGTATATCCCAAAATGAGATAGGTAGAGTTTGGAAACTCAGCATTGATTAACTATATGTAATAATGATATGTTTATTCTTTCTAAAACGTCATTCTGCTGGGGTGTAATAGACATACTTAGTTGAGAAATATATCATTTTCTTCAAGAAGTCATTGAAATTTTTCAAGAGATATTCGCTACGATTGATCGAAATATCTTATTACTCTTACCCAAATATTTCTTGATATTAGCCCAATACTTTTTGAATTTCTCAAAAGCATGTGACTTTGGAATGTTTAGGCAAATGCATTCGAATATAAAGTCTACTGCTCTCCTGAAGCACCTGCATAGATATGCAGATATGATTAATGACTCCAAAGTCTATAACGAAAAATTTAGATTTCTCGAATCGAGATATCCATGAATCGAGATCCTGATGTATATACATATAAATAGTCCAATGGGAGCATGAATTTCCACTAGAATCAATCAACAAACACGACTCAACACCAAAAAACTCATCAGCACCCTGCTTTTTAACTAATGCATCAGGATTGTCTTTCTTCCAATATCCTTTCCGATCGTAGTTTAAATATTTGCCTCTTACTGTTCCATCTATTTTGGGCTTTTTATTACTCTTATTTTTCTTGCTCTCTCTCTTATTCTTCTTTCTAAATCCACATTTCGGCTTGGAACCGGAGAAGCTACCGAATGAGCATGACCATCATTACCCTTAAGATCACTTTCCACATTTTGCAACTCATTTATCAGCTCAGTTAATGACATCTTGATCTTGTACAAATGATAGTCCAAAGTAAATTGTGAAAATATACCAGATAAAGAATTTAACATCATATCAATCCAAGTTCCCGACTCAATTATTGCACCTAGATTCTCCATTTAGTTTAAGTGTGCAATCATAGTCAATATATGATCATTCATAGTTGTTTCTAGTTTCAAGAACATGCCCGGAAGGTTTTCAAATAAGTCACAAATAAATTATTAAAAGAGTAATTCACACATAATGTCCATACATTTATCTATTATTGTAAAAAAAATTCATGCCTTTTATATTTTTTTTGGTATTTTCACCTTTAATTACACATTTAATTGCGCAAACAATCATTTCTATCTATTTTCTCAAAAAAATTGTGAAATTACTAATACACACTCCTATTTAAATAAAAAAATATTTTTAATTTTTAATTCTTCAATAATTTATTTGGGACTCGTTTACACTTTTTAATTTTTTTAAATTTTTAAATAAATTTAATCGGGACTCATTTGCATTTTTTTTAAAAAATTAATTTTTTAATAATTTATTGTGGACTTGTTTTCACTTTTAAAAAAAATTGGGACAATGATTATAATTAATTCTTTAGCTTTTTATTTAAATATGATGGCATATTCATCATTTAACAGTTTTTTAATTGAGAAATTGGATAGAAATGATGATTTGTGCAATTAAATGTGTAATGAAGGATGAAAGTACCAATAAAATAAAATGTATGAACTTTTTACAATAATAGGGAAAGGTAAGAACATTATGTTCTAATTACTATTTTAATAATTTATTTGTGATTTATTTGGACTTTTTAAAAAAAATTGGAACTGTGACTGCAATTAATTTTTCTTTTTCTTTTATTTGAAGAGAAGGATATATTGGTCATTTCATAATTTTTAATTGAGAAAATATGTGAAAATGACCTTTCGGGCAATGAAGGTGGAAATAAAGGTAAAAATGCCAAAAATGGAAAGTATGGACATTTTCCACAATAAAAATAAAATGTGGGGACGTTATGTACTAATTACTCTATAATTAGGTTATAACATTTTATCAGAAGTCACAAATAATCATCTGATTTTTTAATTTTTTTTCACCGATTTCTTATTTTTAAAATTGTATTTTGAAAATTTTTTCCTTAAATTATCAACTATTCGTGGCCCAAAAAATCTACTTAAGAATTAAATTAAAAGATAATTGAGCTCAATCCCAATAATTAATCTAAATATTCAGAAAAAAATCCAAAGATCCAATAGTAATAAAGGAAAAATTCATTTCTCCTACTGTATTTTTACCCTATTTCAAAAATAACAAAACAACTTTCACATTTCAAAAATCAGAAATTTTCACCTACACACACACACACACACATAAAATTAACCTACCCCCACCACCCAACCGCTCCGACGACTGCTCCGGCCATCGTTCTGGTTTCGATTCAGGTGACAGTTTCCGACGACTGCTCCGATTTCGACGACTATTCCGATGACATGAATTTTTTTGAACGGTCACAGCCCAGGTCACAGGTG